AATGTCAGAACTCCAGAGCTGGAAGTCACCAAATGGCAAATTGTTTTTCCCTGGTATTCTCTACTCCTGCCTCTGAGAGAAGCAGGCGCATTCCAGCCTCAAATCCAACACCGTTCATAAGAGGGTGGGGAGAGTTGGAAGAAGGAAGCCCCCAGAGTGGAGAAGACCTAAAAGATGAGACATTAGGAGACAGGGTTCATTCTATCTGGTTGCCGGGACTCCAATATACTTACACCCACCTGTGGGGTTTGACCACAGTCCTTCCAGAGGTGGCTGGAACAAGAGCTAACTTAGAGATGTGAAGACTGGGCTGGGCACAGTGGCTCACACCTGTAATCTTAGCACTTTGGGATGCTCAGGCAGGAGGATCACTTGAAGTCAGGAGCTCAAGACCAGCCTGGGCAATATGGCAAGCCCCTCAACTCTACAAAAAGTTTTTAAAACTACCCATGTAGGCCGGGCGCGGTGGCTCAAGCCTGTAATCCCAGCACTTTGGGAGGCCAAGGCGGGTGGATCACAAGGTCAAGAGATCAAGACCATCCTGGTCAACATGGTGAAACCCCGTCTCTACTAAAAATACAAAAAATGAGCTGGGCATGGTGGTGCGTGCCTGTCATCCCAGCTACTCAGGAGGCTGAGGCAGGAGAATTGCCTGAATCCAGGAGGCGGAGGTTGCGGTGAGCCGAGATCGTGCCATTGCACTCCAGCCTGGGTAACAAGAGCGAAACTCCGTCTCAAAAAAAAAACAAAAACAAAAACAAAAAAAAACTACCCATGCAGAGTGGCTCATGCCTGTAGTCCCAGCTATTTGGAAGGCTGAGATGGAAGGATCCCTTGAGCCCAAGACTGTGAGGCTGGGCATGGTGGCTCACGCTCATAATTCTAGCACTTTGGGAGGCCAAGGCAGGCAGATCCCCAGAGGTCAGGAGTTTGAGATCAGCCTAGACAACATGGTGAAACCCCATCTCTACCAAAAATTCAAAAACTTAGCCAGGCATAGTGACACACATCAGTGGTCCCACTACTTGGGAGGCTGAGGAGGGAGGAATGCTTGAGCTCAGGGGGTGGAGTTGCAGTGAGCCAAGATGCACTGCTGCACTCCAGCCTGGCCAACAGAGGGAGATCCTATCTCAAAAAATAAAAACAAACAACAACGAAAACAAAAAAGTGAGGTCGGGGGCAGGACTGGACTCTGGAGGTGGAGCTCAGACACCAGATCCAGTTGAAGACTAGCTACAGCAGGTTTGAGGTGGAAGTAGCTTTCCATATCCGAAGGTGTGCACTGTCAGTTCGCCGTTGCCATGGCAACACTGCCCCTTTCCATGGCAGCAACCCAACTACCTGCAAGTTACCACCCTCTTCTAGGAATTTCTATATAAACTGCCCATCAATGTTCACATAATTAAAAGTTGGCATAAATATGAGTGCAGAACTGCCTCTGAGCTGCTACTCTGGGCACACTGCCTGCAAAGAGCAGTCTCTCTGCTGCTGCTGTACACTGCTGCTGCAATAAAAGTTGCTGTGTAGGCCAGGCACGATGGCTCACACCTGTAATCCCAGCATTTTGGGAAGCCAAGGCATATGGATCACCTGAGGTCAGGAGTCCAAGACCAGCCTGGGCAACACGGTGAAACCCCGTCTCTACTAAAAATACAAAAATTGGCCAGGCATCATGGTGGGCACCTGCAATCCCAGCTATTCATGAGGCTGAGGCAAGAGAATCACTTCAACCCAGGAGGCAGAGATTGCTCTCCAGCCTGGGCAACAGAGTAAGTGAGACTCTGTTTCCAAAAAAAAAAAAAAAATTTAAGACAGGGTCTTGGCCGGGCACGGTGGCTCAAGCCTGTAATCCCAGCACTTTGGGAGGCGGAGGCAGGTGGATCACGAGGTCAAGAGATCAAGACCATCCTGGTCAACATGGTGAAACCCCGTCTCTACTAAAAATACAAAAAAGTAGCTGGGCATGGTGGCATGTGCCTGTAATCCCAGCTACTCAGGAGGCTGAGGCAGGAGAATTGCCTGAACCCAGGAGGCGGAGGTTGCGGTGAGCCGAGATTGCGCCATTGCACTCCAGCCTGGGTAACAAGAGCGAAACTCGGTCTCAAAAAAAACAAACAAAAAAAAAAACAGGGTCTTGCCATGTTGCCCAGGCTAGGCTCAAGCAATACTCTCACATCAGCCTCCTGTGTAGTTGGGACTACAGGTGTGGGCCATTGCCACTATGGCCAGCTCTCCTTTTTATTATTTTTTGTTTTTGCTTTTTTAGAGACAGGGCCTTGCTCTGTAACGCAGGCTGAAATGCAGTGGTGCAATTGATCATAGTTCACTGCAGTTTTGAACTCCCAGGCTCAGTTCCTACTGCTTCGGCCTCCTGAATGGCTAAGCGTAAACCACTCCCCACCACACCTGGCTAATTTATCTTTTGTTTTTTGGTTTTTCTGTAGAGATGTGTTCTGACTATGTTGCTCAGATTGCAGTAATAAATCAGAAATGTGAGTCCCCGATAACTGAATTTTTTTTAAACAGTGTTTTGCTCCTGTCGTACAGGCTGGAGTGTAGTGGTATGATCTCAGCTCACTGTGACATCCGCCTCCCAGGTTCAAGAGATTCTCATGCCTCAGCCTCCCTAGTAGCTGGGATTGCAGGCACCCACCACCACGCCCAGCTAATTTTTGTATTTTTACTAGAGATGGGGTTTCACCATGTTGCCCAAGCTGGTCTCAAACTCCTGGCTTCAAGGAATCTGTCCGTCTTGGCCTCCTAAAGTGCTGGGATTACAGACAGGAGCCACCTCATCCTGCCCCTTGTTGAGTTGCTTAATGAAGCAACCGTAGGTCTGCTCAGACTTCCTGTTATGTACGATAAGAAAATTCCCGGGCTGTTTAAACCACTTTTGGTTGCGGTTTCTTGGTGCAGCTAAAACATCCCGTCATAGGATTGAAAGAGGAGATTTGGGGCCAGAGGCGGCAGTGCACACCTGTAATCCCAGCACTTTGGGAGGCCGAGGCGGGCAGATCACAAGGTCAAGAGATTGAGACCATCCTGGCCAACAAGGTGAAACCTCATCTCTACTAAAAATACAAAAATTAGGCTGGGCGTGGTGGCTCAAGTCTGTAATCCCAGCACTTTGGGAGGCCGAGGCAGGTGGATCACGAGGTTGAGAGATCGAGACCATCCTGGTCAACAAGGTGAAACCCCGTCTCTACTAAAAATACAAAAAATTAGCTGGGCATGGTGGTGTGTGCCTGTAATCCCAGTTACTCAGGAGGCTGAGGCAGGAGAATTGCCTGAACCCAGGAGGCGGAGGTTGCGGTGAGCCGAGATCGCGCCATTGCACTCCAGCCTGGGTAACAAGAGCGAAACTCCGTCTCAAAAAAAAAACAAAACAAAAAAAAAACAAAAATTAGCTAGGCATGGTGGCATGTGCCTGTAATCCCAGCTACTCAGGAGGCTGAGGCAGGAGAATTGCTTGAACTTGGGAGGCAGAAGTTGCAGTGAGCTGAGATCGTACCTCCGCACTCCAGCCTGGTGACAGAGTGAGACTCCATCTCAAAAAAAGAAAAAAGAAAAGAAAGAGGAAATTTTGTTACAGGCATTTTTGAGAAAGACTAGAGTGTGCAATGGAAGAGAATGCCACAAGGGGCCTCCTTTAGGGCACCGTTACTCAAAGTGCGGTTCACAGACCTGCAGCAGCACCATTATCCTGGAATTTGTTAGGAATGCAAGTTACCAAGGGCTTCACCCTAGACTGATCAACTCGGATTCTCTCGGAGTGGGACTGGGACTCTGTATTTATCTTTTGTTTTTACTTTTTATAGATACACAGTATTTTACATATTTATGGGTGTCTGTGATATTTTGTTACATGCATAGGATTTGTAATAATCAAGTCAGAGCATTTGATGTATCTATCACTTTGGAAATTTACCTATGTGTTAAAAAACAATTCAAATCCTCCCTTCTAGCTTTTCGTTATTGTTGTTGGAACACGGTCTCACTGTGTCACCTAGGCTCTGGAATGCAATCTCGGGTCACTGCAGCTCCAGAGATCCTCCTTGCTTTAGCCTCCAAGTAGCTGGGACTACAGATGTGTGCCACCACACTTGGCTATATAGATTTTTAAATTTTTTGTAAAGGCAAGGTCTACTACGTTGTTCAGGCTGGTCTCAAACTCCTGGACTCAAGGTATCCTCCCACCGCGGCTTCCCAAAGTGTCTTACAGCTATTTTGAAACAGACATTGTTGTTAATTACAGTCACTCGACTCTGCTTTAAACAACAGAACATAAGTGTTTTATCTAGTTTTAAGTCCTTCTTTGACCTAAATCTCTTCATTTTTCACCCACCCATTCCCAGCCTCTGGTCTCTACATTTCTACTTTCTAAATTTATGCGATCCCCTTTTCTTAGCTGCCACATATGAGTGAGAACATGTGACATTTATCTTTCTGTGCCTGGCTTATTTCACTTAACATATGGACATCCATCCACGTTTCTACAAATGACCTGATTTCATTCTTTTTATCTGTGTTTAAACAAGGTCCCCCTCCGGGGATTTTGAAGCAACTGCAGTTGGAGAAAACAGACCGAGGAGACTCCTGCAGCTGGGAGCGTGATGGTCTAACAGAGGAAGCGCTGTGCCACCAGCTCATCTTGCCCTCCCGGAGCTGTCTAGTTTTCTTTTACTCAGTTTTCTTTTCTGTCACTACACTGTGAGAATCAGATGAAGAACCACTGTAAAAATGGTTTGAAAACAAGCAGCATGCTTGCTCATGGCTGTGATCTCAGACCTTTGGGAGGCTGATGAGGGCGGATCACTTGAAGCGAGGAGTAAGAGACCAGCCTGGGCAACACGGCAAGAGTGTTCACTATTTTTCGAGACGGGGGTTCGCTCTTTTCTAGGCTGGAGTGCAATGGCACAAACTCAGCTCACTGCAGCCTCTGCCTCCCAGGTTCAAGCGATTCTGCCGCCTCAGACTCCTGAGTAGCTGGGATTACAGGCATGAGCCAGCTCGCGGCCAAAACTGTTTATTTTTACAGCCCCGCGTCGCGCTCAGCGCGGCCTGCCCCGGACCAGACCTCCGGGGGCCCCAACATTGCTGAAAATGAGCTGAGTGTGGTGGCGGCACCTGCGGCCCCAGCTCCTCGGGAGGCGAGGCGGGGGCTCGCCTGCGCCCAGGGGTCGGGGGTCGCAGTGCGCCATGGCCGCACCGGTGCTCTCCGGCCTGGGCGGCAGAGGGAGCCTCCGTCTTTGCAAGAAGGAAGAAAACGGCGTGAGCGGGCCGAGAACCTGGATCCCCGGGGACGCAGCCTCTGGGGCCGGACTCCGCCTCCCAGCCCGGGGCGTCTCGGGGAGGGGCCCGCCTCCGTCTGTGGGTCCCGGTGGGGAGTCGCTGTCATTATTCCCGGGACGCAAGTGCTCCTGTGTCGGGTTCTCCCGTTCGAATTCCCGCGTGGACTCCCGGGCGGGGCCCGCCGCGGTCGCGGGGCCGCAGCCACCCCAGCCCTCCTCCCGCCACGTCCCCCAGGAAGCGCCGCTCGGGGCCTCCGTGGACGGGGACCCGCCGTCCTGGGGACAGACGCAGGCGCGGGCCGCGAGCCCCGTGGGAAGGGACGGGGCGCGGGGCCGGACGCGGGCGGGGGCCGTCCTCCCTCGGACGCCGAGGCCCCGTTATCCGGGGGCGGCGGCACCGCCCGGTCTCCCGCAGGGGGCACGCCCACCGGCCAGAGAGCCAATCGGAGCACGGGAGGCCCGGAGGCCGCCGCCCAGCGACCACTCAGGGCCCGCCGCACGCGCTGCCTGCTCTTCCACTGGCCGAGCGTCCTGCCCATCAGGGCGGAACCAGCGCGGGCTCCGCCAATAGCGGGAGGCGGCCGGGTCAGGCCGGCGTGCGGGCGCGAGCGCGTCACGCTGAGGACGCCGCCGCCTTCCCGCCCGCGCGCCGGCTCTCGGCCCCCTCAGGCCCGCCCGCGGCCGGCCGCGTCGTACCAGGCGCTGCTCGGCGGTAGGGAGTGCCCGGGGCAGCGGAGCCCGCCGCCCAGAGCCAGAGGGGTGGTGGTCGCCGCGGGGCGGGAGCCCGACAGCCGTCGCCAGGACGGAGCCATGTTCGGTTTCGACGCCAAAGACGGCTTTCCGGAGCCGGCCACGCCGCCGGGACACGGGCTGCCCTTGCCGCCCCAAGAGGTACCAGCGGTGAGCAGCGGGCCGGGAGAGAAGCGGGGGCGGGCAGAGCTGACCTTGGCGGGTCGGGGGCTCCAGGCTGGGGGCGGGGCCCGCGGACCTGCGCCCCCCCCGCCCGCGCCCCCCCCCGCCCCCGCCCCTCCCCCTCCCCCGCCCCCTCCCCCGCCCCCGCCCCCGCCCCCTTCCCCCTCCCCGCCCCTCCCCCGCCCGCGCCCCCGCCCCTCCCCCGCCCGCGCCGGCATGGGGTCTGAGCCGGCGTGGTGGCCGGCGCCTGTGATCCCGGCACTTTGGGAGGGAGGATCCCTTGGGGACAGGACTCGGAGGCCAGCCTGGACAGCATAGCGAGGCCCCGTCCCTGCTACAACTGGGAGGAAAAAAAAGGCACTTCGGGTTGGATGAATACAAAGAAGAAAAGAAAAAGATGTCTTCTAGGGAATCCAGCAGGCTGCCTTAGTGGTTGCGGACACCTGCTCTTCATCTGCCCACGGACAGGGCGAGGCGCTGTCTGCAGATAACGGGCAGGCCAGGTCATAGGTGTGTCCACGGGCAGCTGGCACCCCATGGCTTCCACTGACAGGCCGCTGTGCTCTGATGCTCCGGGGCTTGCACCGGTCTTACTTGGTGTGTGTGATGCTATATCATGTCAGCACCCGAAATGACACTCAAGAGAAGGGATGAGATACCAGGCATGGTGGCTCACCTTTGTAATCTGTCTCAGCACTTTGGGGGGCTGAGCTGGGAGGACTGCGTGAGGCCAGGAGTTAGAGGCCAGCCAGGGCAACCGTGAGACCCTGCCCCTACAAAAATAAAAATAAAAATTAGCCAGGCGTGGTGATGTGTGCCTGTAGCCCGCGCTCGGGAAGGTGAGTTGGAGGATCGCTTGAGCCCTGGAGGTTGAGGCTGCAGTGAGCCATGATTGTGCCACTGCACTCCAGCCTGGGTGACACAGTAAGACCCTACTTCCAAACAAACAAATGGTAAAAGCAAGAGAAGGGAAAAAATGCTGGGTGTGGTGGCTTAACACTTGTTATCCCAGCACTTTGGGAGGCCAAGATGGGGGGATCACTCGAGGCCAGGAGTCTGAGACCAGCCTGGGCAACATAGTGAGACTCCATCGCTACAAATAAAAAATAAGAGGAGAGAGGGTGAAGCATTACTGGACACGAAAGATGGCTCCTAGGAGGCAGGGACTAAGGTAGTGCCAGATTCAGGAGCATGTGGTATGTGGAGTCCCAGGACAATGGATAGAAGCCCTCATGGGCTGGGCTAGGTGGTGCTCTTGGAAAGCAGACAGTGTTGTGCTGGGATAGCAAGCCCTATACACACAGTGTCATGGGAAAAGGAGCAAAAATTTAGAAGTAATCTGTGCAATTGAAAAAAGTCATCAGTCACAGTGGTGCTATTTTTTGTGCACTGTCATTGGGGAAATGATGTGGTTTGAGGGAAAGAGCACAAGACCATAGACTGCAGACCAGGGCCCCACTGCCAGCTCCCGCCTCTGATTGCATTGTTCCATGTGAGCTTTAAAACTGTTTTCCATGGCTTTCGTTCTCTCTGCTTCAATCCTCTCATCTCTAATACAGAGCAAACACCTGGATTGGAATGAAGTATCTTTGGAAAAGGTTTAAAGAGCTCCATAAATGTTAAGTATTACTATTCCAAAATGACTCAAAGTTGTCATCTGTGTGGAGAGGAATAAGTGTAATTCCACATGGAGAGGGTATTCTAAAACAACTTGGAGAGTACCTTTAGATGCAGATTTTGGGGCTCAGCGTTGCCATAGGAAGGAAGCCTGGTGTGTAGCAGTGGTTCCCATACTTTCAGTAGTTTAAAACAACAAAAAAAGATGAAAGACTGATACAGGGTTGTTCTCCTTTAATTTTGCCAAGAAGTTTTTTTTTAAAAAACTCCTCTTTTGTTACTGTCACTTAACACTATAACATGGAAAAACACCATCTCAGCAACAAAATAGCAACCAGGTGTGGCACTCATCTGTAGTCCCAGGTACTTGTGAGGCTGAGATGGGAGGATCACTTGAGTCCAGCAGTTGGAGGCTGCAGTGAGCCATGATCTTCCTACTGTACTCCAGCCTTGGCAACCGAGTAAGACTGAAATTTTTTTATTTTTTTATTTTATTTATTTATTTTTTTTGAGACGGAGTTTTGCTCTTGTTACCCAGGCTGGAGTGCAATGGCACAATCTTGGCTCACTGCAACCTCCGCCTCCTGGGTTCAAGCAATTCTCCTGCCTCAGCCTCCCGAGTAGCTGGGACTACAGGCACGCGCCACCATGCCCAGCTAATTTTTGTATTTTTAGTAGAGACGGGGTTTGACCTTGCTGACCAAGATGGTCTCGATCTCTTGACCTCGTGATCCATCCGCCTCGGCCTCCCAAAGTGCTGGGATTATAGGCGTGAGCCACCGCGCCCGGCCCAAATTTTTTTATTTTTTATTTTGAGACAGCGTCTTGCTCAGTTGCCCAAGCTTTAAGTGCAGTGGCACGAGCACGGCTCACTGCAGCCTTGACCTCCCTGGTGCAAGCAATTCTCATGCCTCCGCTTCCCAAGTACCTGGGACTAGAGGTGTGCACCACCATGCCTGGCTAACTTTTGATGTTTTGTAGAGATGAGGTCTCACTATGTTGCCCAGGATGTTCTCAAACTCCCGGACTCAAGTGATCCTCCTGCCTCAGATTCCCAAAGTACTGATATTACAGGCCACCCTTGGCCGAGACTCTGTCTCCTATAAAAGAACACAAAACCTTTCCCAAGAAAGGACTTCTGACAGTCTTACACCCAAACAGTTGAAAGACTTGATGTCTGAGGTGCATATTTGTGAAATGAGAAAGAATTATAGCTGCTTCACAGGCTTGTCAGTGAGGATTATGTAAAGAGCCTTGATGTGACCCCTAGCTATGTCTTTTTCTTTCTTTTTTTTTTTTTTTTTTTTGCTAAATGACATTTATTGAAATATATTTTCCTTTGTGCTCAACTAGCTGGATATTCCACAGTACCACTGTTGATGTCATCTATGATGTCGTGAGGGTGGCGGCCATCAACATTACAGCCCACAGACTGGGCAGTCCCCAGGATCTCTTTAATGGTTCCAGAGAGTTCTCTGGCTAAAGATCGGTGCCGCATCTGTCGAGCAATGTTGACAATCTCATCGAAAGTGATATTCCCGCTGTGTTTAATGTTTTTCTGTTTCTTTCTGTCTCTTGGTGGTTCCTTAAGGGCTTTGATGATCAGGGCAGAGGCAGAAGGCACCACCTCAATCTGGGCCTGTCTCTTCTGAATGGTCAGTTTCACTGTAATCCTCAGGCCCTTCCAGTCACCCGTTGCCTTGGCAATGTCATCACCAACCTTTTTTGGAGACAGACCCAGGGGGCTGATCTTGGGGGCAAGCGCAGAAGTAGCACCGACTTCACCCCCAGTGCACCTCAGGTATACGACTTTGATCTCGTTGGGGTCGAACTTCGGCGGCATGGTGGAGGCGGCTGGTGTCAGATGAACCCGGATTCGGGACGACCGAAGAAAGTTGCACCTTGGCCTCCTCCGAGCCGAAAGCCGAAAGCCTTTTTTTTTTTTTTTTTTTTTTTTTAATGCCTCATCTCCTGGGAATGTAGCCCAGTAGGTCTCGGCCTTTTTTATTTTATTTTTTTATTTTTAGAAAAGAAAAAAAAATAAGAAAAAGAATAAAGAAGAGGAAGAAAGAGGAAGAGGGAGAGAGAATGGGGGTATTGCTTTGTTGCCCGGGCTAGAATGCAGCCTAAATATGGGTATGCCTATAATTGTCCTTAATAATGGAGACATGAAAGAAAATGAGGGAAGAGAATAAAAAACAAGGAGCCAACCAACATTTCGTTTAAACTTCTAAGTTGATATGATGTGGTACTGATAAGAGTGTATATTTTGTGTAAAGTGGAGAGTTCTATAAATGTTAATTACGTTTACTTGTTCCAGATCTGAGTTCAAGTCCTGGATATTGTTGTTAATTTTCTCTCATTGATCTGTCTAATGTTAATGTTGAAGTCTCCCACTATTATTGTGTGGGACTCTTAAGTCTCTTTATAAGTCTTGTATGTCGCCGGGCGCGGTGGCTCAAGCCTGTAATCCCAGCACTTTGGGAGGCCGAGGCGGGTGGATCACAAGGTCGAGAGATCGAGACCAACCTGGTCAACATGGTGAAACCCCGTCTCTACTAAAAATACAAAAAATTAGCTGGGCATGGTGGTGCGTGCCTGTAATCCCAGCTACTCAGGAAGCTGAGACAGGAGAATTGCCTGAACCCAGGAGGCGGAGGTTGCGGTGAGCCGAGATCGCGCCATTGCACTCCAGCCTGGGTAACAAGAGCGAAACTCTGTCTCAAAAAAACAAAAAACAAAAAACAAACAAAAAATAAGTCTTGTATGTCTGGGTATTCCTGTATTGGGTGCATATATATTTAGGATCTTTAACTCTTCTTGTTGTTGCATTGATTCTTTTATCATTATATAATGTCCTTCTTTGCTTGTTTTGATCTTTGTTGCTTTAAAGACTATTTTATCAGAGGCAAAAATTGTAACTTCTGCTTTTTATTTATTTATTTTTGCTCTCTGGTTGGTAAATCTTTCTCCATCCCTTGTTTTGAGTCTTTGTGTATCCTTGAATGTGAGATGGGTCTGGATGCAGCATACCGATGGGTTTTAGTTTTTTGTCCAAATTGCCTGTCTGTCTTTGAATTGGGGAATTTAGTCAATTTAAATTTAGAATTAATAATGATATATGTGAGTTTAATACTGCCATTTAATATTAGCTGGCTATTTTGCCCCTTAGTTGATGTAAATTCTTCATTATATTGATGTTCTTTACTTTTTGGTATTTTTTAGAAAGGCTGATACTGTTTGTTCCTTTCTATGTGTAGTGATTCTTTCAGAAGCTCTTGTAAAGGAGGCCTGGTGGTGATGAATTCTCTGAGTGCTTGCTTGTTCACAAAAAACTTTATTTTTCCTTCACTTTTGAAGCTTAGTTTGGCTGGATGTGAAATTCTTGGTTGAAAGTTCTTTTCTTTAAGGATGTTGAATATTGGTCCCCACTCTCTTCTGGCTTGTAGGGTTTCTGCCGAGAGATCTGCTGTAAGTCTGATAGGCTTCCCTTTGTGGGTAACCTGACCTTTCTCTCTGGCTGCCCTTAGTATTTTCTCCTTCATTTCAACCCTGGTGAATCTTGACGATTATGTGCCTTGGAGTTGCTCTTCTTGAGGAATATCTTTGTGGTGTTCTCTGTATTACCTGTAGTTGAATATTATCCTGCCTTACTAAGTTGGGAAAATTTTCCTGAATAATATCCTGAAGCGTATTTTCCAGCTTGGATTCATTCTCTTCGTCACATTCAGGTACACCTATCAAGCGTAGATTAGGTCTTTTCACATAGTCCCATATTTCTTGAAGACTTTGCTCGTTCCTTTTTATCCTTTTTTTCTCTAATCTTGTCTTCTTCTTTTATTTCATTGAGTTGGTCTTTGACCTCTGATATCCTTTCTTCTGCTTGATCAATTCGGCTGTTAAAACTTGTGCATACTTGACGTAGTTCTCGTATTGTGTTTTTCAGCTTCATCAATTCACTTATATTCCTCTCTAAATTTTGTATTCTTGTTGACATTTCATCAAACCTTTTTTCAAAGTTCTTAGTTTCTTTAGATTGTGTTAGAACAAGTTCTTTTAATTCACAGAAGTTTCTCATTATCCACATTTTGAAGCCTGCTTCTGTAATTGGAACACACTCGTTCTCCATCAAGCCTCGTTTCATTGCTGATGAGGAACTGGGATCCCCCGCTAAGGGAGAGGCATTCTGATCTTGGGTATTCTCAGCCTTTTTTGACTGTTTTCTTCCCTTCGTTGTAGATTTATCCATCTGTGGTCTTTATAATTACCGTCTTTGTAATTGGGTTTTTGAGTGGACGTCCAACTTACTGATTCTGAGCGCCGAAATCTGAGCAACCTACTGCGCCGACTAAATCAGCGGCGTTAAGATTGATGGTGCTTTTCTGACTCTGCACCAAGAACCGACGCTCCGAGGCGCCGGCAAAACCGCCTCGCCGGTCAGTAGAGTCACGCTGGCGACCCGTGGGGCTCCTCCGCTGGGAATCTCCTGGTGCGTGAGCAACAAGAATTCATGTGAAGGTGTGGCGTCCTCTCGTTCTTTGCATTTTCACTGGGAGCTACAATCCCGAGCTGCTAGTGATCATTCATCTTGGATCTCTCAGTCCTTTTCAAAGTATGTGGCTGGGAATCTTAGCTCCTTCAGTCTGACAATGGAGATGACTAGAGACCTTGAACCACACGCCCAAGGAGACAGAAACTCTCCAACCACAACATCTCTGTGCTGGCCTCCCAAGTAGGATTGCCCACATTTTGGGAAAGGTCATTTTTATTCTCAGAAAGGAGCTCCTGGTCAGATAACTTGTTTGGATGCATCTGGGTTTCCCCGGTGGGCTCTCAGCTGCCTCCAATGGTGAGAAAACAAAGTGTCACATCGCTCTGTGGAACTTTAAAAAGATGTTTGTTTGCAGGCTGCTTGGGGGAGGAAAGTGCTGGCCCCAGCTGGCAGCTCCCACAGCACTCTTAACTGGGTCTTTCCCCAGGGTTTTGTTTTTCAGAGCTCACCAAGGTTTGCTGAAGATCTAGAAGGGATTCTGGGGAGGGGAATCCGAGTTTGACTTGAGGTACAATTGTCCATGCCCAGGTGGAGAGTGACAGCTAGAGAGTGACAGCGCCAGGCAAGGGCATGGCAGAAAGCAGGAGATGGCACTATTCATACTTTGGCTGATGAGCTCCTGTGACCTGTGATTCATCATCGTAGATGAAGTTGTTGAATGACCCAGTTAAAATAGGCTGTTCAGGGCATTTTTCAAGGTGCCTTTTTTGCTGTGCATCTTATGTACTCAAAGCACCCAACATGAAGGCTGCTTGGGCTTCCACCTGGGGTCTGTCTTGTCATCAGCTTGCCACACTCCGGTCTAAATGCCTTTGCTGAAGCTGGACCATGGCGGATGTGGGTGTAGAGTCAGCTGTGGCTGGATCTGATTAATGCTTAATAGTAATACTTAGCGACTGTTAGCTGGTGTTGTATTAGGTGATAGACTAAGCTCTTAATGAGGTAGCAGCATAATTTTTTCAGGTTTACTCACTGTCTTCCACACGTACCATTGATTTATCTGATGACTCTTAACGCTAAAGAATCTAAAAAGCTGGTGGCTCACACCTATGTTCTCAGCTATTTGGGAGACTGAGGCAAGAGGACTGCTTGAGCCTAGAAGTCAGAGGCTGCAGTGAGCTATGATTGTACCACTGCCCTTCAGCCTGGGTGACAGAACAAGACCCTATCTCTTAAAAAAGAAAAAAACCCAGAATTTGTAAAGTGAATTAGACTGAATTTTTTTTTAAGTAAATGTAATATGTGATTTTATTCAGCCCTGGAATTAGTTTGTTGAGACATTAGGGTTAGGCATTTATCTGCTGTTCATAGCTACAGAGTAATACTAGTGGCAAGGATGGGGAACACCAAAAACCCTTCTACATTGCTGGTGGGAATGTAAATGCTTTGTTAACCAGTTAACTTATGACTGAACAGTGCTATTCCTCATACTTAAAAGAAATTTGTGCTTGTGTCCACTAAAAATCTTTTTTTTTTTTTTTTTTTAGGTGAAGTGTCAGTCTGTCACCCAGGCTGGAGTGCAGTGGCATGATCTCAGCTCACTGCAGCCTCCACTTCCTGGGTTCAAGCAGTTTCCCTGCCTCAGACTCCCGAGTAGCTGGGATTACAGGTGTGTGCCACCACACCTGGCTAATTTTTATATTTTTACTAGAGATGGAGTTTCACCTTTTTGGCCAGGCTGGTCTCCAACTCCTCAACTCAGGTGATCCTCCCACCTCGGCCTCCAGAAGTGCTGGGATCACAGGCGTGAGCCACCGTGCCCAGCCTAACGGTCTTACATAGGAATGTTCATCCCAGCTTTACTTGTAATAGCCAAAAACTGGCAACAACCCAGTTTTGGGGTTGTTTTATTATTTTATTATTATTATTACTTATGTAAGAATACCTGTTGTCAGCAAGACAACAGGGTAATAAATTATATTCATGTAAAGGTATACTTACATAAATAATAAATTTTAAAAAACTACTGGTGCACACAACATGGTGGATAAATTTCAAAAACATTATGTTGAAGGAAAGAAGCCAGGTACGAAAGAGAACATACTATATAATTCTATTAATATGAATTTCAAGAAATGACAAAACTAATCTTTAATGATAGGAGGAGAAGTTAGAGTGATTGTTTCTGTAGGTATTAACTGAGAAGTGGCACAAGGAACTTTAAGGAATGGAAATGTTTTATCTTGATCTAGGTGATGGTTGGATGGGTGTATTCATACTTACAAAAAAGATTGAACTGTACAGTTAATATTTATACATGTATTGAATATTTCACCTCAGTTTTAAAACTATATATGATACCTAATATTATACCTAATAATAGTAATTGTAGTTGCCTACTGATAACAACTAATAACACTTATTGAGGCCTTACTCTGTGCCACGGATTTTGTAAGCACTTAATTCCCGAATACATTATGAGGTTTTATTGTTTTCTCCAATTTTACAGACAAGGAGACGGAGGCATGGAGAGGTTAAGTTCACTCACCCAGTGTAACACCGTTGGCAGTCTGGTTTTAGATTCTGTCCAACCACTGTGTGGCACTGCCCAGGAGCATGAGCTCCCTTTCACTGACGCGCTTTCCTTCCTGCTCAGAGATGTGCTGAATTTCCTGCGCTCAGGGGACCTGCCGCCCAGGGAGCGTGTTCGGGCTGTGTACAAAGAGGCCCAGTACTATGCCATCGGGCCCCTCCTGGAGCAGCTGGGGAACATGCAGCCTCTGAAGGGCGAGAAGGTGCGCCAGGCGTTTCTGGGACTCATGCCCTATTACAAAGGTGAGAGTCAGCTGCCCAGGACGGTGGGTATGTGCAAGGAGGTCTGCAAGTCATCTGCGGGTGTTTAGGTCTCCACCAGAACACCAAGGGCAGCATCCATCCAGATTACTCAAGATGGGAGGAGGACACTCAGTCAGGCTGGGCTGATTCAGGTCAAGGTGTGCCTACCTGGCCTATGACAGTCAGGCTGGAGAGATTCAGGTCAAGGTGGCCCGCATCCGTCCCAGTCAGCAAATTGTGTTTCAGGACAGCCCTCGTCCCATTGGTGTCCCTTTGCTGTGCAGAACCATGACCCTTGTTCAAGTTTGCGCCCTTCATTGGCCCCCCCGGTTCCTCCCCTGGGAAATCTGTCTTTCCCCTCCTGCATCCTGCCATCTTCAGGACTGTTTCTCTGTGCATCTCTGCCGACCTGTCCTGCCCCTTCACCCCGGTAATGGCTGTTGCGTTCCCCTTCATAGACCACTTGGAGCGGATTGTGGAGATTGCCCGGCTGCGTGCGGTCCAGCGGAAGGCCCGCTTTGCCAAGCTCAAGGTCTGTGTCTTCAAGGAGGAGATGCCCATCACCCCCTACGAGTGTCCCCTCCTCAATTCCCTGCGCTTTGAGCGGAGTGAGAGTGACGGGCAGCTCTTTGAGCACCACTGTGAAGTGGACGTGTCTTTCGGGCCCTGGGAGGCTGTGGCTGATGTTTATGACCTGCTCCACTGCCTGGTCACGGACCTCTCAGCCCAGGGCCTCACCGTAGACCACCAGTGCATCGGGGTGTGTGACAAGCACCTCGTGAACCACTACTACTGCAAGCGCCCCATCTATGAGTTCAAGATCACATGGTGGTGAGTAGCCCTGGTAGGCAGGAGTCCCATCAGGGAGGATGTCCACCCTGCTTGGTGGCGCTGGGAGTAAGATCCCTGAAGGGCTGCTGACTGCCCCAGAATCTGCCGAGGTGGGGACCGAGTCCTGAGGCACAGCTCCCAGGGGACAGAGGTGCAGCTCCAGTCTCCCTGGCTGCACCTCAGGGTTGGGCTCAGGGCTTGCAGCTGCAGGGACTTGGGCCTGCACTCACCTGGCCTTTCCTCAAGGCCTGGTAGTCTTTCCTTGAGGCTGACAGCTACGGCTTGACCAGGAAGTCCCGAGAGGTTTTGTCAACTTCGTGACCTTGCAAGAGAGTTTCTACCCATTTTAGAGCCACGTTACCAAATCGATGTAGGCCTAATCACTTCCTGAACCCTGTCCAAGTGTCTCTCTTTTGTTCTGAGTGTATTGGTGTGCACATGGAACATGATGGGGGATTTACCTGACTAGCCACCCCATAGCCCCCGGCCGGAGAAGAAAGAGCATCTTCTCTCCATGCACTCCATCTCCTCCAGCAATAGTCCCTCACATTCTTAAAATGTGGAAAGACTTTTTTTGTTCTGGAACATGGTCTTCACCACCTTTTGGAGATTTAATCATAGCCGTCAAAGCCATGCACCCAGTTGGCCTTAGAAAACCACAATGTTGCCGGGCGCGGTGGCTCAAGCCTGTAATCCCAGCACTTTGGGAGGCCGAGGCGGGTGGATCACGAGGTCGAGAGATCGAGACCATCCTGGTCAACATGGTGAAACCCCGTCTCTACTAAAAATACAAAAAATTAGCTGGGCATGGTGGCGCGTGCCTGTAATCTCAGCTACTCAGGAGGCTGAGGCAGGAGAATTGCCTGAACCCAGGAGGCGGAGGTTGCGGTGAGCCGAGATCGCGCCATTGCACTCCAGCCTGGGTAACAAGAGCGAAACTCAGTCTTAAAAAAAAAAAAAGAAAACCACAGTGTTTACAGCCCCGTCTTAGGGCCGCGGCTTCTCCTAGCTTCCGCCACCTTCCTTGCTTGCAGGGCCGTCTTCTCACAGGGCTGGAATGCAAATTTCAAAGGCTTCTTTTGAAGATTCCCTAAGTCAAGCAGACAAGATGCTTAGCTCTTCTGTTGCCTTGGACATGTAACATCCTTTTTAGAGGCTCAGAACACCTCCTTGGCTGCTATCTCATGTGTTAGAATCCAATTTATGGTGAACCTCTTTGGAAGGGGATCCCCTCTTTAAACCCTGTTGCTGTCTCCTGCTAATATTCTCCTTCTAGAAGAGCATCTGTTCTGAGAAGATAAAGGAAGGGCTAGGTGAGAGGCACAGCTGTTCTAAGAGCCACAGGAAGACAGACAAAGCTTAGCTTTTGTTTCAACTCCTCACATTTCAGAAATAGAAACAGATCCCCAAGGATCTGTTACTACTGCATTTTCTTCTTGCTCTTTCTACATCCTGGGCCAGCGAGTCAAGGTCTGGACATGCATCTTCTAAAAGAAGAGCTATGTAGCACCACTGATCACAACATAACAATTCCATGCTGCATTAAGAGTGTCTCTCTGTAATCCTGATTGTACCTGTCTCTTTTCTGGGTTTTTTTTTTGAGACAGAGTCCTGCTCAGTCACCCAGGCTGGAGTACAGTGGTGCAATACCAGCTCACTGCAACCTCTGCCTCCTGGGCTCAAGCCATTTCCCTGCCTCAGCTCCCTGAGTAGCTGGGATTATAAGGTGTCTGCCACAATGCCTGGCTAATTTTTGTCTTTTTAGTAGAGACGGGGTTTCAACATGCTGGGCACCAGCCTGGAAGTCCTATCCTCAGACTCTAAAAGTGCTAGGATTACAGGCATGAGCCGCTGTGCGCAGCTGAGAAATCTGCTGTTTATATTGAGGATTTTGTGTGTGATGAGTTGTTCTTCTCTTCCTACCTTCAAGATGGTCTGTCTCTGGCTTTTGATAGTTTTACCGTGTTGTGTCTATGCGAGATCTCTTTGCGTTTTTCCTTTTTTGTATTTATTGAGTTCCTTAGAGGTGTTGATTTGTGTTTTTTATTGAATTTGGAAAGTTTTCAGCCATTGTTTCCATAACTATTTTTCTTTTTCCTTTTTCTCTTTTCTCCAGGGATTTCTATTATGCATATGTTGGTATGGTTGATGATTTCCCAAAAATCTGAGGGTGTGTTCATTTTTCTTCACTAGTTTTCTTTCTGTTCTTCAGGCTGGGTAATTGTTATCTTTCATCTGCCTGCTTAAGTTAGCCATTGACCTCTAGCAAATTTTTTATTTTAGTTCCTATATTTTTCAACTCCAGAATTTTTCATTTGGTTCTTTTCTAAAAAATAATTTCTGTCCCTTTCTTGATAAATATTTAATTTCTATTTGGTGAGAAATCATTCTCATAATTAATTTTCTTTATAGATATGATCTCTTTTAGTTATCTGAACTTATTTATAATAGTTTGTTTAAAGCCCTTGTCTAGTAATCCAACATCTGGGCTTCCTCATCTGAGCTTCTTGTTCCTATTTGTGTCTCACAATTTTTTTTTTTTGAAACAGAGCCTTGTTCTGTCACCCAGGCTAGAGTGCTGTGATGTGATCTCAGCTCACTGCAACCTCCGCCTCCTGGGTTCAAGTGTTTCTCTTGCCTCAGCCTCCTCAGTAGCTGAGATTACAGGCACCTGCCACCATGCCCAGCTAATTTTTTTTTTGTATTTTTAGTAGAGACAGGGTTTCACCACATTGGCCATGCTGGTCTTAAACTCCTGACCTCATGATCCACCCATCTTGGCCTCCCCAAGTCCTGGGGTTACAGGCATGAGCCACTGTGTCTGGCCAATAATTTTTTTGTAAAAAAGTAGGTATTTCAAATAATATAATGTCTCTGCTCTAGAAATCTGACCAGTTCTCTCCTGAAGTTTGTTGTTGCTGTTTGTTTTGTGACTTTCTGGAATTAATTCTGTAAAATGTGTATACTTTTTCCTGTGTAACCAGTGATGTGTCTGCTTGGTAGCTTGGTGGCCTGCTAGTAAGTGGACAAATTTTCTTAAATGTCTTGAACCAATAAATCTTGTAGCCTTTACTGAGGAGGATATTGTATGCTCATTTATATGCTCATTAAGGAAGTGTCTGGGTGTGTGTCTGTTGTGGCACCCTTCGATGCGGCATTAGTTTATAAATGTGCTTTAGCATTCATTTTTTTCTGCTTGCACAGAACATCAGGGTCAGCCAGCAGTGAAAGATGAGAGCCTTCTCAAGTGTCTTCAGGTCATGTACATGCCTTCTAGATTCTCAGGAATATGTTACAGCTTTTCTAAGCTCTCCATGGACATCTCATTCCTCAGTTTTTCATATTTATTTTTTGTTTTTTAAAATTTATTTATTTGAAACAGTCTTGCTCTTTCACCCAGGCTGGAGTGCAGTGGCCCAGTCATGGCTCACTACAACCTCCACCTCCCACATTCAAGTGATTCTTCTGCCTCAGCCTCCTGAGTAGCTGGGGTTACAGACACACACCATCACACCCAGCTAATTTTAGTATTTTTAGTAGAGACAGGGTTTCATCATGTTGACCAGGCTGGTCTCGAACTCCTGGTTTCCTGATCCACCCACCTTGGCCTCCTAAAGTGCTCGGATTACAGGCATGAACCACCGCACCTGGCCAGTATTTTTTTTTAAATCAGTGTCTTGTTTGCCCCAACTATTATTACTACGGTGGGTAGTTGTGACATTAAACCATTGTCTCTAATTATTTTTAACTAACTCCCTGGTGATAGAACTGTTCACATTCAAGGAACTGTAATTCAGGTCAAATAAAAATAAGCCCTGAGAATGGAGCTTTTCCAGGGAGCTCTTAGGTTAAATGGTGAACATTCGTTGAGGACGCTGTTTTGTGGGTAGCTGCTTATCTGTTCTGCCCCTTTAAGTGGCTACCGGACTGGTGACATTCATAGCGACCATGTTTGTGAGGGTGTTAATTTTTAAGTGTTCCTCAGAGCTGGGGAGAGAAGAATGGGGCAAATTAAAATGTCACAGAGCTCATTCTGTTTACTGAGAGTTACCCATTTTTCTTGTATAAACATTCCTTGGATTCTTAGAAGCCTTTGGTTAATTTCCTTGCTTTCATGGAGGAGTAAATCTTTGGAAGTTCTCACTCCACCATCCTGGAAGTGCTTCCACCTGCCTTTGCTCACATTTATGTAGTAGAGAAAGTTATATTTTAGCAAGTTTGTTTATATTTTAGCAAGTTTGTTTAGGGTCACCACTGACAACTCAGAGTATGACAACATACTTTTTTTTTTTTTTTATGTTTTGCTATTATTTCCCTACACTCTGGCTAAGTTGATTACATAATATTTCCTTAATATGTGTTATCCCCTTCCACTTTGGGACTTTTTGTTATGTTGTTTTCTTTGCTTAAAACACTCTTTTTCCCCTCATCTTAGCAGTGGGACTACCGCTTATCCTCTTAAGATTCTTTTTTTTTTTTTTGAGATGGAGTCTGGCTCTGTTGCCCAGGCTGGAGTGCAGTGGTGTGATCTCAACTCACTGCAACCTCTGTCTTCTGGGTTCAAGCGATTCTCCTGCCTTAGCCTCCTGAGTAGCTGGGATTACAGGCACCCACCACCATGCCTGGCTAATTTTTGTATTTTTAGTAGAGATGAGGTTTCACCATGTTGGCCAGGCTGACCTCGAACTCCTGACCTCAAGTGATCTGCCCACCTCAGCCTCCCAAACTGTTGGGATTATAGACATGAGCCACCACACTTGGCCCCTCTTAAGATTCATTCTGATGTCATTTTCTTCATGTAGCCTTTTCTGAGCCCATGGATGTGAGCCTTCTTTGAAATGCCCATATGTCTTTGTTTATGCCTTTTGTATGATCTTTTTATTATTTTATGATGGCATATATGATTAGTTTCTTGTCTTCTGTCCCTGCGAAGTTGCTAGTTCTTTGAAGGCAGATGATAAGTCATACTCATTTATATGCTCATTAAATATGTGCAACATTTAATAGAATTGCATGAATAAGATTTTCTACCTTGTAAAAATTAAATAACAGTACGTGGTTGTACATATGATATATTTTTATAATTATTGGAAAGGTATAAGAAAAAAATGAAAATTCAATTTTGCCCATAGAAATTGTTTTAATAGTGGTTTCTTTCTTTTTTTAATTTTTGTTTCATTTTGTTTGTTTGTTTGAGACAGTTTCAGTCTGTTTCCTAGGCTGGAGTGTAGTGGTGGGATCTCAGCTCACTGCAACCTCTGCCTCCCCAGTTCAAGCAGTTCTCCTGCCTCAGCCTTCTGAGTAGTTGGGACCACGCCTCGCTAATTTTTTTCTTTTGTATGTTTAGTTGAGACAGGGTTTTACCACGTTGGCCAGGGTTTTACCACGTTACCACTCCTAACCTCAAGTGATCTACCCACCTCACCCTCCCAAAGTGTTGGGAGTACAGGCGTAAGCTGCCACACCTGGCCATGATAGTGGTTTCTGATCAAAGATTTGATACCCAGCTTTTCATAGAGAACATCACAGGATTTCAACTCCAAGTAACTTTGGGTTGGAGGTATAATTTCCCACAACAAACATGGGGAACCTACTTTCATATGAGAGTGACTAGGCTAAAGCAAAACTAAACTGGTAAACTGTATAGAAAGGTAGAGCTATTTGCCAGGCTAGTTTCTAGCCTCTGTGTATATCTGTTATTTCTTGAGACCAAAGCTAGCTCTTTATTCTTAATCTCTCCTGGATGAAATCTTCAGGGACTTGCAGAAAGTGTGCAAATATGCGTCGTGCTTATTTATTTAAGTAAAGTATAATGGCTACATGGACTTAGAGTTTTATTCTGTTACTCTAGGTAGATCTGAGGTGGTCATGATAAAATAATTCTGGAGAAAATACAGTTCAAAAGCTAGCTATATTTTTTAAAACTATATGGTAATGAAAGCCTTATAAATAATAACCGATGGTCTTAAATTTACTTCATTTGCCCCATAATTGTTGCATACCTTGCTTTTTGTTCATGTAAAGCCAAATAATGACTAGGAAGTACCATGGTATACAGTCAGACCCAGGTTCCAGCTTGGCGAATAATTTGTAGCAATATATTAAG